CCCCTGCAAAAAACGCGCCTCCCTCCACACCTTCGTTCTCTTCATGATAGAAAATATAGAGCTTGGCAGCGCGCTACTTCTAGCGGGTCTTCTGAAGACTGGGCCTCTTACCATCGGATTGATGCTATTTTCGCCAAGAGACTGCGCAAGTATAATGACTTCGTAGAAAAAAAGGTTATTAATTCTGCTGATAAAGGATCGTTCTTCCGTCTGGTGAACTCGAGACTTCGTAGCAAGCCTCAGATTCCGGTTTTGAGATCTACTGAAGGAGTTACTGCTAGAACAGATGAGCAGAAATCCGAACTCTTGGCGGACAGTTTTGCTAAAGTCTTCGCTGTGCCGGATTGCAACGCAGCACAGCCTAGTTGCGCTTCTTTTCCTATCATGGGCGACTCCGCTTGGTTTCGTGCAGACGAGATACACCAGCTCATCGCAGCGTGGCCGTCTTCGACTTCTGATACTCCGGATCATGTGCCACTGGCTTTTATCAAAAAGATTGCGCACGTTATAGCCACCCCACTTGAGCATTTGTTCAACCTGAGCTTTATGCGTGCAGAGGTTCCGAGCAAATGGAGACTCGCATTCGTCACACCATTACTGAAAAAACAGCCATCAACTTGTCCTGATAATTCCTATCCCGCTCCCTGCACTCCTGCCAAATTTGAATGGTCTAGGTCCACGGGAGCATGAGTTATGAATTCGCGGAACAGAATTTTCATCGCGCGCGCCCCGAACCCTATAGGCGGAGTCCTGTCCTTTCAACTACCATAAGTGTTCCGATCCTACCGCCTGTACTCCTGCCAAATTTGAACACCCATGGTTCACGCAAACAGGGGATATGAATTTGCGGTCAGGCACACACATCGACACACCTACAGACACAGCTAGCAAATTATATAAAGTAGGATAGTAGTGTCGAAACTATGAACGCATCATTTGACCAGATGCATTTTTGCTTAGGCTCATTTTTACGCTTCTCTAAACCTTATTTGATCCTTTTGTTGATCATATTTGAACTTGCACGCGAGCACCTTATTAGGAGACCTAGAAAAAAGTGGTTAGGGAAATAATGGGATGGTCTAGTGAACGGAATTCTACTCAAAGGCAAAAAAGGCAACGCATGATCTTTAACGCATGGGACTTGAATCCGTGCCTAAATCCTCTGGAAGTCCAAGTTTTCTAGAGGCGCTGAATTCGAGGGTGCTAAATCCTCTGGAAGTCCAAGTTTTCTAGAGGCGCTGAATTCGAGGGTGACCTTACAACATCGAAAAGCGCCGTATTTGCCGCTTGTAAGGTAAAATAAAAAAATTTGTTCAAAGCAATTCTGCAGGTAGAACAACCTACAATTACTTATATAGAGATGAGGCGATCGTAACAGCTTTGATGGAGCGAAGGTTACGGCTTGCGCAGGTCGGAGACATGGCACATTGAGTGGAAGATTGAACAGTTTGTGGAGCTCGACACGAAACGATTCTGAAATGGACAAGTACTGGAAGGTAGCGAAAATGTTCCAAGAAAACGTGGAAAAAGTGAACAGACGTTGTTCTACACCGTCACCAAGTGGGCACTGGATGTGGAGAAAAGATGACCACCCAGCAGGTAGGAAAACTTGCGATATCGTAGGAGCTACATTTTTCTGAAAGAAAATGCAGATCATAGGCCTTTGTGAAGACTGAAACCGGAAGCTAAAAATAAGTAAGAGATGAAATTGATGATGGCTTTGAAATGAGGCTCCATTCAATAAGAGTTCCAAGATTTAGACTGCAGTGGAACAAGAGATCTCCCCACAAAAACTCCCTCCTCACGGGTATAACTACTGCGGAAATGTGCCCTTCGAAAATGACTATCAGCAAGTGAGATCCCGAAGAGCAACTGTTAGCTACCAACTACCGCTTTCAGACATTTTGATTTTGATTGTATAACAAAGGATAAACTCAAGACGAAATGTTTTCAATCTGAAACTTTCCAAATGGCTTGTTGACTCCACGTACAGACTGGGAAGCTGTGAACGTCTAGCTCCTATCTGGAGTTTCTAGGAAAGGAATAACATGTCCTTGAGCGGATACATATGAACTTATTCCAATCTGCCCTGATAAAAAATGGATGCAATTTGTTTCAAGCATCCAGCCAGAAGCATAACAGCAAATCGCTATTGCTTGGATGTTGTCTATCAAAGAAGAGCAGTAGAACCTTAGCACAGTGTAGCCCATTATTCATCACATAAACCATGCTATAGACTCGTCGTCGAATTCCTTCGAGTAAGCAATTGTAGAGAGTATTAGGACAGTCACCAAAAACGACCGGAACCGTGGCAGTCAGATTGGCAGTGAAACGCTTGTATTCCGTACCGTCTAGAATATTCATTTTTGTTAGTAGCTACACAACACTATCTCCACCGATGAATCTTGAATAAAACCAACCACGAGTTATTCGAACAATTGGTACCATTTTCTGATCTTCAGAATCGTCTTTGCTCGTTAATGCTAAACAACGGTATGTAGAAAGTTCCACATAATCCTGAAACATACTGAGATCGTAAAGCCTACATCCTCAGCAAAGAAACTGGAGCATGTTTGTAGAAAATTATGCGTGCTGTTTAGATAAAGTGTTAGTTGTGGCATACCTTATACTGTAAGGCACTGCGCGAAAGATCATCGAAGATGTGACGCTGCTTGTCAGTCATCTCCTTGTTCATGTCTTTCCGAAGCAGTATATCTCTGTCCACACTAGCAAAAGACAACTGGTCTAGCCTTGATATGAACTTTTCCATCCCATTTTGGAGATCTTCAGCCTCAACACCACTTCGCAGCGCACAAGAAAAACCGACCTTCAAAGTTAATCTTTCGACACAAAAGATTCCCCTCTAACTGTGATTCATACGACTACTAACCTGTACTCTCACAGATAATCCTTCAGGTATGACGGTGCTATGTCTTAGAAGATCATTATTTGTAAGAAAAGTAGTTGCATCAGCAGCTTCCAATATGTCTTTGGTTGTTGTTAGTGTAAACCCATCTCCAACAGTAGTGACTTCATTTCCGTCTACACAAACATTTCCCACGAGGTGGACATCTGAAATACAGTGTTTAACTTCTTTATTGCGGAGCACTGAATGAAGATTTAAACACAGAATTCTAATCAAACCTGCGCTCATGCAACTCAGCATAAATTGCACAGCGGAAAGGGTGAGAGTCTCCGATGGAATAAAAATAACAAGGACTATTTCCTTGCGCGTTGGTCTACCAAAAACGAGTCCGCCGATTTGAGAGCTCTCGCTGCTCCATGATCGAAGGTTTTGGTAGTTCTGGAAATCATAGTAGTAGTGCATCGAAACTGAAAGTAAGGAATGTGAAGCATACAGCTCACCTGGAATACAAGATCGGTGTTGATTAACCACTTTTGTTTCATTACTGTGAACCCTGAACCAACAATTTACCCAAGAAGAGACAGATCAAATCACATTTACCTTACATATTTATACCAATTAATAAAGGCACACAAAGACATCGGTGACGACTAATAAGACAGAGAAAAATCAAAACTGGTGAAGAAACAAAGCCAAAAAATACCCTAGTTTCCGCTAGAGCTTTCAATGAAATGCTAGAAGATAACATAAATACTGAGTACTTGGCTGCTTTGAACAAATCTTATTCATAGGGAAACGATATAAAACTCTTTATTTTAATCAGGTACTCACATAGAAACCCATAAAGATGAAATTTGGAAATTGTCAATTAATTAACAGGATACCTTTGTAATTAAGTGAAAGATAAAGAGAGTACTCTACAATTTCAAACTACAATTTCATGTTACTGGAACACTTATGAGGACATCATGATGATAGTAAGAGTTGAAGCCCCAATGCGACCCTATGCGGCAACCTTTTGAACGGCGACAAGACTGACAATAGGGCACAGAGAACTCACATTGTGTCATTCAAAGTAAGGCATACGTTATCGAGTGAAGTTCATTCACTGTACGAAAAATAATAGAACAAAAGATTAAACCTTTCCTTACCCACAATGGATCCGATTAATTTGGGAGAAAAGAAGAGATAGTACCAAAAATTGGTAGCACGAGCACAACCCATGCAAGAATAAGAGACGCTAACGGAACCTTCTCGCTATCCTGACACCACCACGATATAGCATAAATCCAACAGCACCCCAAAAGGCAGCTCGGATTGCGAACTTAATCACCTGAAAAGATGTCTATCTGCAAACAGCTATAATTAGAAGAAGGCGTAAAATGCTCTATTTTGGACAAAAACAAGAGAGAGAGCAATGACATAAAGCGTGTTCACGGACTTCCAACACGGAAGATCCTTCAGAAAGATGGGAACAATTCGTCCACCCCGATGTGAAAATGAATAGGGGAATCAATATTAAGATATATTCAATAGTAAGAGTCATTAGCCACGTTTACCGTCTTCAACAATTGTAAACAAAGGAAAAAATGTGATTAACAGTAATCAGAGCAAAACAAATCGCATTCAGAGTGTACCCGAAAATGGTGCGAATTTGACTAAAATGTTAGTGGAATCTTGCTTGCTTTAATGTGCTTATAGGTACGAGAAAGGTGTGTCCATAGATTTCGAGGGTTGCTACTAATGAAGAAAATCCGTCACCTTTTTTTGAAAATTAGCGTGCTCAATTGGAATTTTCGGTCTTCAAGAAAAAAAAATTCCGCAACGAAGAAGGAAACAACACTCACTTTGGTAGAGGTAGAAGGAGGAGGAATATGGAGTAGTGGCGCAATATCTACCGGATTGTCCCAATGAGCAACAATTCCAGGTGTGTGGCCGATTCCTACGACGGCTACTACCTACAAATGAAAATATGTACGCTACATAAGAGATGCGTCGACATATGAGAACTTTTCATATTGGCAATGATGAACATACTCGCAATGGCTGCCATTCTACATCGGTACGCTCCCAAGACAGCCTTTTCTCAATCGTATTCTTTTGCAACAAAGAATGAAGAGCGTGAGTCATGTAAGCATCCCGTTCGTCTACAAAAATCTGGAAAAAAATGGATTAAGGTGATTATATAAATAAACGCAGGGTAAAACAACGCACCTTGGTCAGCTTGGGGAAATCCCCAGCCATTTCGGCCAAAAGCTGCTCCAACAGGTCACGCTGCTTACATTTTTCGACCTAAATTTAAGTTGTTTATGTTTTCAGCGAGTTCAGTGTGCATCGCAACTACCAAGACGTCTCATCCTCGTAAAAACAATGGTACTAAATGGAAATGGAGACAGAGCTCAATTATAGAATACATTCAGGAAACCTGACTGAGGGAAGCTACGCATGTATACTACTAGTGCGAAGAATTCATTCGTTCATTCCCTCCATTTCCTTATGAAATGTGCATGCGTTGTATATAAATAAAAAAAATATTTTCTGATACTGTTTCGCATTGCTAATTAATTTACTGATTAATGCGTCACAGTCACAATATAGAAAGTTGCATAAGTTAATTTCTGAGCCGATGCCGCGAGCCACGGTCATTTAATAAGGAATGGGGTGGAAACCTGAACGGGGCACACGTAGACGAACTGCACGGGGTCGTCAGAACCATGCTACCACACATTTGTGTTATTTCACTTCATTAAGGGTCCACCGCGACCTAATCCAGGATGACAGCATACGACCCCTTATAACTCTTTTGGATGCTCTATCAAAAAGAACGCATGACCAAGAGAAAAGGCTAATTGGATTACCTCTTCTGGAGTTATTGATGCACTATGGGATAAGGCTACGTGCCAAAAAAATTTTATTTTCTGCCAAAAATTGAGTGATCCGAGTGCTCTCTGGAGTGTAACATGAATCGGACGATCCCCCAAAACAAGACGACAGAGCTGAAAAAGGAGTAGGTTAAGATGGATCTAGAGTTATTATCCTGAAGTGTTAAGAAAAGAAAATTTCTAGTCTGGAAAGAAAACAGAATTGAAGTTTTGTAAACCAACCTGAGTTTGCATAACAGCTTTATGGGCTGCGCGAAATTCACCACCAGGAGCCATAGATAATTCTCTTGTTATATGAGCTGACATAGAGAGCAGGAGTACATGCAGAATTCCTTGCACAATACCACTCTGAAGGATCACAACGGTTAAAAGCCCTGCATCATCTTCGCCCACAACTTCGGACCTCACATATTCAAACAAAGACAAATATTCCCTTTCTACTAAACTTCCTAAGCCTTTCTGGCAAGATGCTGCATCGATAGATAATATATTCTATGCAATCACACAATCATTTAGCCGCAGACATAAACTACAGCTGTCAGGGATGACATTAAAGTGGCACACTCAAACGAGAAAAAGTAAGGCTGCCAAAAAATTGGTGGCTAAGAGCAAATATAGTCGCAAGTGAATGGTGGAGTTGCAGGAAAATCATGTGATAGAATAGGCAAATATACGATATAGAGCAGCTATTGATCAAATATTGTGATGACACTAACAGAAAGGCAGAGAGCAAAGAAAACCAGTAAAGACTCCATGTATACACAATATACAGTACACACACGAAACACATTACACTTAGTTGCACATTACCTGTTTAATGGTGGTGAGTATTTTCTGTGTATTGAGATCGCTAGCTTCCTTTAGCAAGGTCTGTTCATCCATTGACAAAATCGAAATCCTACTCGGGCAAAGCTCTACCATAACCAAATCAGGTTGCGTAGTAGCGATTGTCTTCACAACGTCGTCTTGAGACTCTTTACTGTAAACTCAAGGAAATCGTTGAATTACGCTATAAAACTTGGACAAATAGCTTGAAAGCACCTGAAATGAGCTGTACCAATCAAGTAAACCGACGCTTCCTGGAATGCTTCTTCCCAACTCGATTCGTTTATACCATCAGGACATGGCGGAATTGGCAAATTCTTGGGATATTTCAGAACGGTAACTGAAGTTCAGAATTCACAATTCGGCTACCTAAATAACAATGGGTGCAGCAGCTTACCAGTATCTGGCGGAAGTTGCACATTTGACGGACGTTTGCGATCGAACATCCAGCCATTAAATATTCGACTCTAAAAAAGCAATGGAGGTCATTTGTTTGAACGGACGTATAGGCGAGAAAAGAAAAGAAGTCAGAGGTATGATGTATCCATGACCAATTTGTTATTCGAGAATATGTATTCGGTGTTTTGTGTCTTTTAACCACTATCTACATTTTATTTTCTAACAAGAGACTGAACAATCATGAATCCCATAACTTGGAAATGAGGCCTTTGAAACTAAACATGAATATTGAGTTTCCTTGAGTTTTGAGAAACAGGAAAGCAAAAATCCCCGATCAAGATAAATAAGCGTGAGCAGGAACAACAAACTACCTGCAAGTCAATACTCCCAGTTTCTGCTGTTTCGACCTCGTCAAATTCTTCCCCGACATGCTCATCAAAATTGCTCGCTGAATCCGCAAGAGATATAACTGACTGATCCGCAATTTCGCTTGCGCCTAATGACAAGGACATGTTAAAAAAGAGAAATGATAGAAAACCGAAAATATCAGCAAACAGTAACCAGTAGTAGCAATTAATTGCTCTCATAAATACTTATGCATACCAGCAGAAATGAACTAAAGAGAACTTTGAAAAGAAATAATAATAGAATTTCAAATAATGAAACGAACCTGTCGAACTCGTCACAGCGCTTTTTATACGAAATAAGTCCTGAAATAAAAGCATATTCCCAATTAATAACTTCTCCACTTTGTAGTGAAACTTTCATGATAAAAGCTGCCGTTCAATCCACAGTTACTGTTTTTTAGATAGTTTTTAAAAAATTGACCGCAACTCTTACTTCGCCTGTCATTTCGTTCTCTTTATCTGGGTTCGGTGGATCTGATTGGGGCTCATTGGATGTATTTGATGAAGTATCGCCACCTCCTCGATGTGACATTTTGGCTGAGATATATGACAGTTTTTATTAAAACGGTTATAAACTCAAGGCTCAGCGATAACCATGCAAGCCAAAAAATCAAACCACGAACGGGGAACTTATGAAAACGATACGCAATGTGGGAAAATGATATAAGCTCAACGTGTGGCAGAAGGGAACGCAATTAAATCTCGCCACCGGCTGCCGTTCGAATAATTTTCCCGCGCGCGGATGTTTGAATTAGAAACCATGTGACGGCTCGAGGTCAGCGCTGCTTCAGCCGCACTCAATAGTTTGGCGTGCAGGATGTCCAGCCGGTACATAAAGCCAGGCTATTATATCCCTCGACAAAGTCAAGTACACCCTACTAACCGAGGAAGCAGTAGAGGGAGTGGTTGTAGGGGCGCATATTGTTTGAACGTTGATTTACTACATTTTCAGAGTTTATGAAGGCATCTCTTAGCTGCCAGAGGTGAGATGAAAGTTCTAGAAGCCTACATTACTGTAGTATTTCTAAAATGTAGTTAGTCAATACACAGAATAATACACAGAAGTTTTATTCCAACAGTGTTCGATATAAGTCCACTTTTAATATTTCTGTGTTCACTCGTATTTCGAGCAGAGGAGGAACTGGTAAACTGTATGAAACTCCTCTTTGCAGCAAACTTATTACTAATTTTTCATCCGTTTATGTTTTCCTAGCTAACTGGCCGTTGAGACCGCAACGAAATCGAGTCTATTCATGAACCAAAATTTTCAGAATACCTAGAATAGTCAACCACCAACAACTTTCAGTTACCCTTCCCTATGAAGAGACGAACCCGTCTCTTCAGACAGGCGACCACTCGAAGTACCAGTAAACTCTCTGCAGATAACTTTTTGTCACTGAAAATCACCTAAAGTATTTTCACCCAGATTGATCAACAATGTGTCTCACTTATGGTCGTTGTGCGACCCTTCATATTATCTTTTACATATGATAAAATACAGGAGCATCTCTCAGAATATGCTTAAATAAATCACACCAATACGAGAAAACCACAAATCGGAGTCCATGAATGGGAACTTTTTGAACTAGAAGACAAGGTGTAACTCTTTCTGACAATTGTACTGAGCGGCATTCAAAAGGCCCCTTTCCAACTTTAATGTATGCCTGCATCATTAAAGATCGCACCAAAGAGGTAGACTCCGACCGTCACATCTCCTCCATGCCAGGAATGTTGCGAAAGAAAGTTCCTTCGAACGACATCAATGCATTTCTGCAACCGCTAACGTAAAGACATAATGTGCTCCAATAACAGTCCTTCAAACGTTCAAATGTTCGCGCGCGGGAAAGTAATTTGAATGGCAGCCGGTGGCGAGATTTAATCGCGTTCGGCAGAAGGTACGTGGTCATAGTGCTATTTATTTCACTGGCCGCATTCATACTAGGTGCGGTAGACGGCGGTCGAGGGCCGTAGACGGCGNCGCCGTCTACGGCCCTCGACCGCCGTCTACCGCACCTAGTATGAATGCGGCCACTCACGGTAGCAGTCTGCCGTTGCGTACAAAGAGCAACTACCGTAGTTTATCTCAATTTATATTCGATTTCGATGAGTAGTAATGTCGTATTCACTCAGGTTGTTCTCATGAGCATTATTTCATGCGAACAGATTTGATTCCCGAACACAATAGTGCAATGCATACTTGCAAGTGGAGCAAATGCGATTCAGGAGTGAAAGGCATCTCTCTATCCTGCCGATGCACAAGCCACGATATACAAGCGACCTGCTGGCATCCTCGTTGTCGTCGTCGTCACCTTAGCTTTCAGGCTATTCGCCGACCCTTCGTCGTGGCTACCCAAGCCCTCTCGTCCTGTCCCCACCCCTCCCCTTTGTCCTACTCTCTATTGTATTTATTATGTATAATAAACATGTGTAAAGATCTATGAGTATACAGAAGCGTCCCTTATATCCGCTACACACTCAGTTATAGGTTCATGACATACCTGAGTGTGTAGCGGGCATAAGAGATACTTGTAGTGACCCGTGATCAGCCCGTCGCCTGTAATTAGATTTCTTCACAAATTGTATGCGAGGTGAGTGATCTCGCGCTGAGCCGTCAGGCTATTCGACGACCCTTCGTTGTGGCTACTCAAGCCCACTCGTCCTGTTCCCAGCCCTCCCGTTTGTCCTACTCTCTGTTGTATTGAGAATGTGCAATAATCATGTAAACAAATATAAGAGTACACAGAAGAATCCCTTATGTCCGCTGCACACCCGGTATAGGCTTAGCTAAGCTATAACTTGATATAAGAGTGTGTAGGTGGAAGAGTGACCATAGTCGAAGGGCAAGAGTGCGTGAGAAAATCTATCAACCAATGCAATGTTGGCCAAGGACTTTCCTTCGCCATAAACAGCTCCGTTCACTGGGTCGTCAGAGGATGGGACAAAGTTCTCCATTTAATGCTCCGTTTGAATAATGTCATCCGAATGCGTCCGTCTGTACTTGCCAACGAGTGGAAGGCCAACTTTCTTATCGGACACTTAGACGGATTTGCTCGGGACAAGGTGGAGCAACTGGACGATGCGGTCACTACTCATCTTCGGAACTTCTTCTTAAGCCCGCAACACGTTGCCCTGACAAAGTGTGTTCCGTGTCCGTGAGAATAAGCAGGAGCCAGAGGAAACAGCTGCAACGTTCGACAATTGGGTGCTGAATTTGGTTCGGTCCGCAACGGCTGGCCAAGACCCAACTAGGGTGTTGGAGAGTTCGTATTTCGCTTTCGGGGAGACATCCGATGCTTCGTCCAACTGAATATTCCCCCCCCCCCTTCCATTCACTTGAGCAGGAGGTTATGAAGGCACAGATGGTGAAATACAACTACTTATGCAGCTACAGCTGATGGACTTATCAATCCTGGAAACGTGAAATGCCTACAAATGCGCTGGGTAGAGGTATTGTAGGTAGGAACCAAGTGTTCAATAGACCCAATAATAAAAACGGCAACGCTCATAAAGACTTTTGAAGTCTTGAAAGTGACCAACGTTATCTTCGTTCATTTTGGGGCGACAGGACAACTCGTCAGCAACTTCGTCGGAATGGACCTATTCCGCCTGTTAAATACTACAACTGCGAAGGAGTCGGTTATCGTGCTATTCACTGCTCGTCACCAGCCGAGCCCGACTGGACAAGCTCACATTACGTTCGATGCATGAGAATAGGGTTCTCAACTCAGCGCGTGAACGCACCTCATGGCTTCTAGCGCCTCTTTTTCTTCTCTTTCTGAATCCTCCCTAATCGCTGTCCAGCAGCGCACTGCTAATCTTTCTCCCACAGAGGACCAAATTCAAACCGAGCTCGTCCAGTTCAAGTTAGAATAGCAGCCACAACTAAACGAAATAAGGAATTCGCTAATTCGGCTTTCGGCGGTAACTTTTCATAGTCTCCTACACGTCTTTCCTCGCCTGACATTCGCCATAGCAGGTTCCTCCGCTTCAGCGGATTCCTGGTTATGCCTAACGGAGACCCCCACCAATTTATTTTTTGTACCGAATGCATGTAATTGTTCATCTTTATTCCCGAATATTACCATTCATCCACTTTTCTCACCGAGCATGGGTTCCGTCCTAATACTATATGTTACCCTACTCCGGCTTTCTCTGTAAAGTCATTCGCCATTCTGACTTCTGTCTCTTATTCTATAAACTTTTCGGAGCACGTTATGAGATCATCTGGAACCGCATCTACATGAATCTGCTGAGGAATGTGAGTTCATGTTCCACCATAAGAAATGTGCATAAGGGAGTTGTCCTTTCATGGAAGCATCTGGAGAACTAGAAATGACTTGATTTTCGAATTCTCTCTGCTCCTTTTGGTTGCTCACGTGAACGTCGTCCACAACTGTTACTTGGTAGAGACACTTATCCATGCCCGCCATGATAAGGAATCACCGCAGTCCGCCACAAAGGATACGAGTTCGTGGATGTATAAGGATGCAGAGTGCATACTTAAGGATGGATCGGTCGACATCTGAACATCCGACGAAGAAGAAGAGTGCCGTTTTGTCTGCATATTGGAGATGAAAGGTTTCTTGATCGGTAATGTTTGGCTGAGAAATCCAAAGAATTCGCTTTGTTTTGGTCTGATCAAAGCCTCTCGTTCTGATTGTCGTATGCAGCTCATACTAACCGGTCTAGGGTTACGCCATCGCTTTTGTGAGACGCTTAAGCCGTTCGTCGAACAACGGCTCAGTCACCTCCAAGCAGCTGCAGCTGTTAGCAGTGAAGAAGTCTGTTCATGATGCCGTTCTTTTTCGGCATCCAGGCACTCTGCGAACTTATTAACATCCTCGCCATTCCAGTACACGCAGCACACCCACCAATCCTACGTTGACGATGCGTAGTCTCATTGAACGAAGGACATTTTGGCAGCTCATCTAGGTGGGTTCGAGTTCCTATTTCCTCGTTATCTTTTGCACGGTTCAATAGTACCTGCTTTAAGTACTCTCGCATCAGTATCTCGCTACTCAGTGGTTCGGTTTGGCAGGCTTAATCTGGTTAACTAACTGCCAGTTATCGATTGTGATGAGGTCGTGCCGGTCGTGATGTCAGCCAACGGTAGTCTAGTACAGTTTTCACCTTATGAAGGCCAATTTTCATGAATCCCGTTGAGTCAAGTCCACATGGTTCGTCCTTCCCCGCCTTCAGACTCTCTTTTACTTTTGCCTAAGTTAACAATCTTCCACAATCTAGTCTTCACTAACCTAAGCTAGATTTTGGCAGATACACAATTCCAAGAGATTTGGGACTGTAAGAGATCAGGACAGACTGATTGATCATATTGTTCGAATATATAAAAGTCTTCGGTGAAATGATTCTTCAGCCGCATTTTTCAGTCGTAACTCCTTTCCTACTGGATCTAATCAGGCGAAATTTCTATATTTGGAGCGTGGGTGTATTGTGAATATTTACCACTATTAATCTGCAATCTCATCATGTTCCACATATTCCAAAGAGCATGAACTCAAAATTGANCAGACT